GTCAGTCATCAACAACCAAGGCTTACGAAAAATCACGGGAACAACGAAAACAACACCACTTAACGCTCTAGCAGCTTTGAGTGGTCAGGAACCGCTGGAATTTCGTCATGAGTATGTTACCATGCGTGAAATTGCCCGGCATGTCACCAGTGACGATGTGATTGCTAAGCAACTTAAAAATACTACGTTGCCCGAAGATGTGGAAAAGTGGGATACGTTCACATATCTTGAGAGAGTATACTGGACCAATAAGGAATTGTTCGAAGCAATCAGTCCGTTAACTAACTCGGCTGATACAGAAGTATCAATCAACCCTTATCTGGAGGACTTACAAACAGCAAAGAAGAACAACGATCCTGTGAAGCTTAAGCAGCTGGCGCTCTTCGTAATGAACGGTCGCAATAAAGGAAAAGGTAGGATATTCACCGATGCCTCCAAAGAGGGTACGATTTGCGGAATAGGTGTTTTTGTCGAGAACATCAAAAGAAGAGTTTGTTTCAAGCTCTCAAGAGAAACGAGTGTTACATCTGCCGAGCTAATTGCTATCCAACAAGCCACTCGCATAATCGAACAGGAGCACCTTCAAAATTACGTAATATACACTGATTCAAAATCAGCATGCATCATGTTGATCACAGCTCTCGAATCAAAGACAAAGGAAGGAATTTTGGCTGATATACTCACCTGCTGCCAAAGATGGAACATATCAATACAGTGGATCCCAAGCCACGTTTCGATCAGTGGAAACGAGACGGCCGATATGCTGGCTAAAAATGGTGTAAATTCGGATAATGTGCTACATAACAAAATTCTGCTTAAAGATGCCTTCCTAAATGCGAAGACAATGATGGAAAAAAGGACACGTCGGTGGTATGAATCGTATTCCGAAGAAAAAGGAAAGAACTTCTTCAGCTCACAACCAGAATTTTACACTGCATCATGGTTCAAAGACGTGGATATGAAAGGAAGTGATATAAAACTGATCAATCGACTTATGGTAGGCCACGATTACTCAAAATACTGGTTAACTCGCATGAAAATACTAGATGACTCAGATTGCGAAATCTGTGCAGAGCCTGAAACATCGGAACACTTGATACTTCACTGTCCTCGTTTGGGCATGCTACGAATGCAGTTTTCCTTCGACAATAGATTTGCAACGCTTTCGGATCTTTTCAAAACTCGCAACGAATCACTATTTAAGGAAGTAGTCAAATTCATCAGAATAGCCAAATTGGATCTATAAAATGATCCTAAACAGGAAACACCGTCTCTACCGACGTTAAACTTCTCGGAGGGCATATAGTCTAGACACTGGCCCTAATCTAGAGCTGTCAAACAGATAGCTCGCTTGAGAAAGAAGAAGAAGAAGAGGAAAGAAGACGATATCATCCTCGAAGTCATCATCATTATATTGTGATAGCAAGATTCTTACTTGATTGTGATTGTTCCGATTTTCAATCATTACCACTTAATACGCAACAGGAATACTTGAGAACACCATCACACATCCAAGCGCGCATCATGATGTGCTTGTAATATTTTTTACTTTAGAGCGAAAGAGTTTCCAATATACCACCGGTATCAGTAAAATGCAAATCTCTAATATTTAGTAATTGATGATTTGTGGAGCTGGTGCTTAAAAGAATCTTAATAAGCATAGAAGTAAACATGGGAAAAGCATTCACTCTCTCTAAAGAATTATTCCAACACCCCAGCCACTGGAGATGCAACGTATCGGCACAGACAAACAGACATAACACTGGCAATTTGTTCAACGAATACGCATTTAACGGTCAATTTAAATGTTTTTAGTTGGTAGTACCGCCACCTGTGGCGCGCATAGTCAATAACCCTTGCGTTTGACGTTTACACACTACCGCCATCTGTTCAGTGTACTACCCATCACAGTATACTCAACAGATGGCGGTAGTGTTTTAGCGACGATGTTTCATATTGAACAATATTCCATGTTTTATGTCTGTTTGTCTGTGGTATCGGAATCATCGCTGAACGTAATAAAATATGCAGTCTTCTTTGGCCAACGCAGCATGCATTCTATTCAAAAATTACATTGGAATAATCATTACTTTCCTATTTTATAACGTAGGAAGTATTTGTCAACGTCGGTGAAAGCAAACGCAAACGGAAGAAGCCGAAGCTGAATGATGAGTGATGACACCGCTTCGTGTTTTAATTTGCGCTGTACCGTCCGCTCAGTTGTGTGGGTTCGTAAATGTATAGATATTGGTGTGCGCGTTTTATTCCAACGCTGCAGTTCAACGTTGTCTCGTCACAAAACGCTTGGCGCTGTTATCTGTCTCTATAAATTCCAAAGAGTGAAGGGGGCCTGCTAAGTGTCACGGGATGGCTGGACGTCTGTTAGTACCGTGAACCCCCAGGCTATCTTACCGTTTTAAATCTAGAATCGTTTTAATTTGAACCCCATTAATTTGCACGCCGTGCAAACTAAAAATTGCGCAAACGTCAAACGATGCGAAACAACCGATTTGCAATTCTCCACAGATTAACTTAAAACTTCTACCCTGAATTTGAACTCACAAAAGTGACTTGGAGTTCAAGTCTAAAATCTCTTAGAGCGCTTTCTAAAACTACCTTTAATATCATCCCTGGCATTCATTCTAAAATCTACTCAAAATTCCAAAAAAGTTGAGTCTGGTCCAAGAATCTTAAAACTTTTCAAAGCCCCAAAATCTTTTTTTCTGCAAAATAGATGAAGTAATTTTTTCCCCGATTTGTCATTTAAATTCCCGGCTTTTTCCTTATTTTCCGCTTCACTGGTCATCCTGCTCATCCCGCACCTGCCCTATAAAATTCGATCGACTCTCCACACATGAGAGAGCGAGATATATCGTCGGATTCGTGCAATACTGGCACTACTCAAAATCTGTGAATATTTACATTCAAAGTTTGAAAATGTGGGTTTCAGTTTCAATTTAATGATTCTTTTCATTTCCATTGGACTGAATCGAGTGTGTTTCATTAATTCTTTCAAATTCAGATTAAAAAATAAACAGTTTAACTATTTTTACTGCTTCTTAATTCAGATGTTCTCATTTGTCATTTTTTTTTGTCTCCTCTATGACGCGCTTGATGTATTTGCGCCCGCGACCAATTATAGAAGAGTGGTCCGTCATCTATTTTAAGTTAAGCTCCCCCGGGAATCCAATCGAGAAATCACTTCATCCTTGGCCTTCAGCATAGATATACGTGGTGGCTACCTTCGTACTATTCATTCCCTAATTCATTTCCACCAGCTTCGCCAGGACAATCGCCACCTTGAACGACTCAACGCATATCAAATTTTGTTAACACCATGTTTATTATGGAGATCGTTGAAAACTGACAGTGCTTCGCGATCGACCTGAAAACTGCACGGCTTGCTTGATGATTTGTGTGCATGCAGAAGGGATAAGTTGGAAATAGAAAGAATAGATAGGATGGATTGAAATTTTGTGCATGTTGAAAATTTTAGGAGTGATTTGGGTAAAAATGGGATAATCCTAAAGTGTCGTCCCCCCTGAACAACACATGAATTTTTGCAATGTGATCCACAAATAATATCTATGTGTCGGGCACATACTTAATATGTGTGCACATAAAAGCCATGTGTGACCACACATACTATTCATTTGACGCATAAATTTCATGTTTACTTCTGAGTGGATTCTGTGTGTGTGGTCACATGAAAATCATGTAGAATTTCACATGGAAATTCGTCAATAAAAATGTGTGGATTTTGATGAGTGTGGAGATCGAAGTGAAGGGAAAATCTCATACAAAATACTGCATTTTTCACCTGCGTGAAAAACGCAATTGACCATTTAATTCGAGCAGTTGATAATGACGTTTCCTACGACTCGAACTTCGCAATTAATCACTTTATTCGAGCAGTTGAAATCACGTTTACTACCACTCGAACTTTGAAATAAAACATTATTTTGAGTTTTTTTCTTCTAGAACCACTAGAAAAGTAATCATCATTTGTGTGTTTCATAAAAATAGAAATTAGTTGGTCCAGTTTTGTGAAATCGCTGGTAGAAAGTCACGCCAATACTGCTTGACAAAGTGGTCAATTGGCTCACTTCTTGACTAGCCTATTGGTCCCAAGCAAATCGATTAAAGTACTCCATTCTAGTCAAAATTCTAGTACTACACAATGGTGGTGCATCGATTAGCTTGGGTCCGAAGAGAGTACCAGAGCTGAGCCAAAAAGTTGAGCACGTTTTTTCGGGACCTACAACTATTAGAGTTACCTTAATGGAAAAACTGCTTGACAAAGTACCCTAATAAAAATAATAAAAGAGAGCTTAACGACGTGTTTGGTGTAGCATCCAAACCATTTGTGGGATAGTTTACCCATCCGGGATACAGTTCGTTTATGTTATTTGTTTATTAGGGTAGTCCATTGGCAAATATTCCACTTCGCCTCATTTCACAGCGCTCGCGAAAAGAGCAGCAGCTAAGCGAAAAGTTTTCGTTTCGAGAAATAGCGGATGTGTCAGATTTGTCAGTGTAAACTGATCGATTTCGTTTCACATGAACTGTAAACTGCGGAAAAAGGAAACTGGAAAATGTTCCACAAACATTTTTTCACAACCGTTTTTCGCTAGCAAAATTACATGATTTTTCGCGTGCCTTAAATTTCGTTTCCCTTCGATCTGTACTAGGCTTAAACTAGAAAAGAAAGCTACCCTTAACTGCTCGAAAAAGCTTGGTTCATTATTATTCCCTCGAAATTCCATCTGCCATCACTGCCGAAGTCACCAGACCGATCGCTCTAGGCCAACTTCACTGTCCCAAAACGCCACTGACAGTTCGCTCGCTCGGCAAACGGTTGTCGAAAATCCAAAACAAAACACGCACACAACCAAACCCCTTCGCTGTGTTCATTTTTGTGTTTACAGTTTCTCCCGTTCTCCACGGTCATCCTTCGGACGCTTCTCAAAATGCGATAACCACCGGAAACGATACATACCCCGGTGAAAATCCTGCACTTACTGCATTTCCAAAGGCCGTCGCCCGCCAGTGTGAAGGTACTAGGCTGCCTGATGGTTGGGTGGTGAACGGAACTCGAACGAACGGAACAGTTTCAAAATCGCGTTCGCTCCGCTCGTATCGTCGGTCGACCGTGCCGTTTGTGTGACGACAAGACGGTTTTTGTGCGTGTGCGCAAGTGTAGCAAAAGAGCAAAGGAAGGAGGAAAAAATTGATCTTGTCAAAAACTAGTGCTGAAAGGAAAGGAAGCAGCTTAAAGAACGACTGTTCCATCGACTGTGACTTGAATATGGTGGAAAATAACAGCCGTTGAAAAAGTGATTGTAAACGAAATTTGGAAACCGGAGGATTATGCTGTGGCTGAATCCCGGATTGCAGTAAAATCGGGAAAATGCATGTAAGTAGTCTAGAACTTTGGCTGGGTCGGAGGGGCAGGAAAAGTGAGAGTGAACCCCTGGCCCGTTTCGGGAGTGAACAAGGGAAACGGGACACACTCAAAGATGGCCGAAGGCAGGAAAAAATAATCCTCCGCCACTTTGGGCAAGTCTTTTCATATGTTTCTATTTAAAATTCGGCATTTCTCTACGAAGGTGGCCTCGTTGACGTGATCCGGACAGATGGTTCGCCTTTTAGGCGAAATTGATGTCAATGTCTGCCGTGCAGAAGCAGAGAAGAGCAATTAGGTAGTGACCGATTGGGTGGCTGTTTGCGGGGGTGAATCTTCCTCATTTGGTGCGAGCAAGGGAGCGGCCCCACCCTCTTCTAATTTACTTGCTCTAGCTTCTTCCCATAATGATGATGATGATGATGACGGTGGTGCTTTTAGTGTAGCGATTGCCTTGAGTCGATTAATCTTCACATTTGTTTGTCTTTTCGCGGGTGGTGTGTATATTTTGGTTTTTTACTTTATTTTTATTGTTTGCATTAGGATAGGGGATGCTGTAAATGGAACGATAAGAAGGGGGCCTCTGTGGGGGAATTTCTTGCAACCCGACACGGTGACGAATATGTAAATTGGCTCGGTTGAAGAAATGGATAATATGTACAGCAGTGCAGGCTGATGAGTAGCTAAATGCATCTACTTTTGCAGCAATGTACTGAGAAGCTCATATAGGTACAGTGGCTCGGGATCGGGTTGTATCAGTTACATAGTATAGTATTCTTTACTAATTACTCAACATGCGAAGTGCTTGATTGGTGCGCTGTACAACTAGACGCTGTAGAATTCCCTTCCCCACTAAGTTATTTTATTATCGATGCACTCTTTGAATGTTCATTAACTGACTTCAGCTGTTTGTTTTGAAAATTATAGCTCAAATCTCGATTACTTTTTCGAAAGGACGTATCAGCTTTTGTTAGTTTGGCGTAACTGGTAGCTCAGTGCGCGTTTGACTTGCTCATATACTGTCTGCGGCTGTGGAATAGCTCTAGCGACGTTTCATCACTACCTAAAGCCCCACGTTGCTGAAAGTATTTCCAGTCGATTGTGTGTTATAATGCAATTCTTCTTTTGCCTGTAGATTTGAAGACATACCTACTCCAAATCTCCTCGTACATCGTACGAGTTAGGCAAAGAAGACAGTGTTCGTTTGCCTTGTACTGTCGCATAAATGGCCCTTCGCTCATTTTCAACTTCTATTCAATTTTCATACTGCCGTACTCTAACGGAACACTATCTACCTACCCTCTTCTAGGACCATTCTCTAGCTAATAAATTATCACACTAAAGCTTCATGTTAGATAGTATTTCCAACCAACTCTGAAAATCGCAAACTTCGCGTATGAAGTAACAACAGTCCCGTCGAAAAAGTATTCGAGAAATGTTATTGAGAATTTTGCTATGAGCTTAAATTATGATATTATCAGATTTTATTTCTGGAGACTTCTCCGAATTTTACTCTTAGGGATCATGCAATAATTACGTAAAAATTTAAAGCGAAATTTTCTTACGTTTGCTTACAATAATACCTTACGTAAACATGAATAATAGCATGAAGAATACAGAACATGTTAACGTAATTATTGCGATTCTATAACATTCCCCAGAATCTCAGTTCCCAGAATGCGCCATTTCTTAGAAAAGTCGTGAGTTCTTTTCGGGACGTGTCTGTGAATGACATATACCAAGACATCCCTAATAAACAAATACCATAAACGAACTGTATCCCGGATGGGTAAACTATCCCAAGCTCTCTTTTATAATTATTTTTATTAGGGATGTGAAAAGGTTTGCGCAGCAGCCTCAACGTCATCTGGATCAAGGATGTTCTCCCATACCATGCTAGACAATACATCTATGATGCTACGGTGGTCAGCTTTACGGAAGTCATAAGAAACCGTAGCAGGATAATCGTCGAAATCACGCACGAGTTTGTCCTCAACAGTGACAATTAGCGGAGGGTGATGTGGAACTCCCTCCCCTTGGCTAGTTTTTAACCTGGACGTTGGTGGGCGGGCCTAATCTTATGCTTCATAGTGGAGCGTTGGAGACGGTTGGTTTAGGTCCGGCATCGTTGGCTCATGCCGTGACAGAATAGCGTCATGAGCATGCGATGAGGATTACTGAGCTTCCCCTCTCTGATGAACCATTGCATAAGAGAACCAAAGTTCTAGCCTGAAGTGATAGTATCACACTTGTTACTCCCTTATTTGAAAGCCGCGTTGTAGTACGCTTACGTATAGGCACTGACGTTGGGTGCGATACTGGCGGGTTTTGCCGCAAATCACTCTTATTTTATTTATTTTTACGCAGATAGATTTATTTGGGTTTGCAAGGGAATTATACTATTGAAATATTTCAGAAAGTGCTCAACAGTGCTCCTTCTACTTGCGTGAAAAGCTTTCGTTGTTGTTTTCATTGAGGTATTACTCAGGGAACAATGTTAAACACCATTTTTGTACATGGTATTGCAACTAATCTTATATGTGCTTCATTTTGATTTGGGATAAGTGTTTGAACTATGGCTCGGGATTTCCACTGTGGCGTGCTTCTATTGTGACATAACCATATGTATTTTTGTGGTGCGACATAGTGGAAACGTGTGAGCGTAGTTGAAGCATATACCCTATGCAATTTACAAATCAGCTAGGAAACTAACTTCAAAGTGAAGCATTTTAGTCACCTGAAGCTGTCACCTGGGACGAACTAATAAATATTAAATATAGGTCAAAGTCTCAAACAACTTGAAACACGTTAAATTTTAGATTACATTCACAAGTGCAGGTACTTAATAAAGCATGGTAGGTAGATTAGAGATTTCAATTATTTATTAAATTAGACTAGAGATATCATAATCATCAAACGAACTTAAATAAGAAAATTTAGACAGCCTAGTAGCATTAAGTGGATTAACAGAAGAGTTAGGATGCGGAGGGTCCGCTTAGGGAGGCAACTAGCCTTTAAAGCAACTGGCAACTAGCCTTTTCATGTATTGTCTGTTTATTTTGATTATTGCTTTAAAATATCAATTTGGTATATATGTGAAAGGATGAATCAGTGGGAGATAGATTTTCGGTTTCTTTACATTTACCATCACTATGTGTAATTTCCTCAAAACTCCCCAATAACCGGTCTCTTCAATCCCTTCCTTTTCCCATGGCGTTCAAGTGGTCCGCATAGACTAATCAGCCATTACCCGTCCTTTATCCTCGGCTTTGGATTGACTTGCGCTCCCATTGCCCCACCAAACGCTGCAAAATGAAAATGAAAATGAAAATGAAACAGTGACAATTAGCGGAGGGTGATGTGGAACTAGCTTAGTTAGTGCACAAGGAGCCGAGGAACTTAATGGAGCCCTGTCCTGTGTGCTCACGAAGCATATGTCCAAACTACGATCATTTTCGTTAACTACATGGTTAATTTGAGTAAGCGTCGCTGCGCTGTGGTTGTCGAGAAGCCTAATAGCCTCTGCGTGAAATGTAGACCTATCAGGATCTGGGTACAGGAATCCGCTATGACTGGAGTGGCACTTTCGATAATTGTGAAAACTAACCGACAGTGAGTATCGATGAGTTCATTGTCCCGGACTCGATCAGGTGGAATGTACAGAGCGCAAAGAATTAAATGGAAGATAACCTTTTTGCTGTTTTATTGAAGCATTCCGCTAACAACCCAATTTCATTACTTCATTATGATGGCTACCAAGCCTTTGGGATTTTCCTTATTAGAGAGTTGAATAGATTTTACTCCTTTAGTTTACTTAAATCTTTGGTTTTAATTAGTTAGGTAGGTTCCGATTCAACACATTGTAGTTTCATTTTTATACCTGTGATCTTGACTTTTATACCTAGGGGATGAGTACTTAAGGGGGTTAGATTTTGAATAGTTCTTTAGTGGGAATGACACTGATGAAGACTGCACATTGTAGTCGAAATACGTATCTGTCATGGATACCAAAATTAATTAAGTGGAATTAAATGGAAGATAACCTTTTTGCTGTTTTATTGAAGCATTCCGCTAACAACCCAATTTCATTACTTCAATATCATAGCAACAATCCGATACAACTAGGCGGTACTCTTCAACATCAGAATGCATTCCACCGGCGTTTTGGTAGAAGATCACGACGTCTTGCTTGCGGCAAGGAATCGAACGACTGCTCTCCCTGGAAATCACAGATACATCAGGCAAAACCTGACCACCATCAAGTCTTATTGGATACTCGCCATAGTGAGTGGGTTGGAAGACCCTTTCTCCACATCCGACAGCAGGTCCGGAACGACTATGATGAACGAAGGCTTCCATGGGGCTTTCAACGGCGCGTTCCCAGGATTGGGAGTTACAGAGGCATCATCACAATGACTAACATAGTCCGAATTGCTGAAAATTTGATCGGCATCAGGCAGTGAATAGTCAATATATTGATTGCACTTGCCTGTACTGCCGCTCTTCGCATGTCGGTCCTAAAGCATTTTTTATCAAAACTGAGTTTTACAATGTAAATGGTAGCTGATCACCCATATTTTCATAATACTGGATGAACTCATAAACTTTGTTCTGAAAAAGTTTGGAAAGACAGCCAAATTGGTTGTCTCATCACATAAGAAGCAATGGTACGAATCAAGCTTAAAATGCGATTTTCTCGGCTTGCTGATTTTTGCCATGGGACCGACATGCGAAGAGCGGCAGTGTAGAGGCAAGGTGGAAGACTCCTGATTCATATCCAGCCACAGGTCCAGGACGACTATGCTGAACGCTGGCAGGAATCGGCACGACTGGGCTGAAGGAACCAGGAGCTTCCGAAGAGCAGTCTATTGTGCGTTCCGGAGATGAATTAGGATTGTTCGAACAGTAAAGCGGATGTTGTGAATGAGCAGTATCAGAAATGCTTCTCAACTGGAAATAGCCGGCAGATGCTTGAGGCGCTATATGAAACAGCTGATGCGGTTTTGGTAGTT